TTAAACCTGGTCAGTTTCAACCTTTGAGTAATGCACATAATTGTATGCAGCCAAGTGTGAGTCTGAGAAGCCCCCCCCCCCCACCCTGTACTGAGCATACTCTTCCGTGCCCTGTGCCTCTCTGCCTAAATACTTCATCAACTCTCTAACTCTGCTGCACCCGGCCCTCCACAAAGCTCTTTCCGTGGCCTTGTTGAGAATCCAGCTTAGCTGAGCAGACCGCTGACAGGAGAGGGGCCCTGGGCTCAGTGACTGGTCAGGCAGAGGGGCCCTGGGCTCAGTGACTGGTGCAGGCAGAGGGGCTCTGGGCTCAGTGACTGGTGCAGGCAGAGGGGCTCTGGGCTCAGTGACTGGTGCAGGCAGAGGGGCCCTGGGCTCAGTGACTGGTGCAGGCAGAGGGGCTCTGGGCTCAGTGACTGGTGCAGGCAGAGGGGCCCTGGGCTCAGTGACTGGTGCAGGCTCCTGGGGCTCTGAGCTCAGTGACTGGTGCAGGCACTGGGGCCCTGGGCTCAGTGACTGGTGCAGGCAGAGGGGCCCTGGGCTCAGTGACTGGTGCAGGCACTGGGGCCCTGGGCTCAGTGACTGGTGCAGGCAGAGGGGCCCTGGGCTCAGTGACTGGTGCAGGCAGAGGCAAGCACACACCTAGCTGCTGGGGAACTAGGTGGTTTCCAGGCCACCCCTTCCTTCCCAGGCCCCTCCGGCTAAAAACAGGAAATTTACACTATTTTCAATCATGCCTGACAGGGGGTCACGGGAGTGGCACTTAATATAGTAGTATTGAAAATGAGAGGGCAGAGCACAGTCACCCTTTGGAGGTGAGGTGTCCCTAGTGGCTAATGTGCCAGGCTGAAGGCGGGGGACCCCTCGGGAAAGACAGGCCTTGTAGGACAAAGGCCATGTGGGAATGTAATGGCATCTCTGTCCAGGCAGCCAGAAAACACCCCACCTCTCTCAAAATGTCCATGAAAGTGTGCTCTTCTAGGACAAGGGTCTTAATGACAGACAATCAAAGAGTTTCTCTTGTCCCCTTTCCTCAAGTGAAAGGTGAAGTTGTGGGACCTACACTGCCGGTCCTCCACAGCAATGACAAATGGCTCAAAGCTGGATGCTGTTCTCAAAGGTCCCGCAGACCTGGGTGGCAGGCAGCTGAGGTCTGTGGAAGTAAGGACACAGACGCAGGAAGGAGGGATGACTGCCTGCTGAGGAATGGCGGGCAGGCTCCTAAGTGCCCACAGGACGCAAAGAGCCTTCATCACCCCTCAAATGAGGCCCTCAAATGGCTGACTAGGCCTGAAAGCAGGTGAGGAGGAACATGAAGTTCAAGCAGAGGATTTAGCCCTGCCCCAGTTCCCATGGATACGTCACTGCCATCCTAGCTCAGAACATCTTTCTGAGTTATGGTGACTGCAGAGTCCTCAGCAGGAGGGGTGGACAGTGAGCTCTTAGCAGTGGCACAGAGGGCCTCGGAGCAGTCCCAAATGTAACTTGAGTCACATTTCGCTACAAGGATGCATTGATTATTAAACATAGTTAGCCTCCATGCTTAATTTTTAGCAAACTTCAGTGAAGCTGGATTGTGTTCACTAGAGCAATACAGGTTAACTAAATAATAGAACTTTCACACAGCCCTTGACTTGGCACAGTTTTCCCTATATTCAGGCCAAGAACTGGGAAGAAACAGCCTTTGGCACCCTGGATTTGTAAGTCTAAATTAAAGTGGCAGCGACAGCCTCCATTGTACAGTAACTAGAAAAACGCTCCAGCAATGGCCACCTCTGAGACATTTCCCTGTACTGACCCATACTGAGTTGGCTTTCAAGGAAGGGCCAGGACCTCTCAGAGAATAACGGTTGTTGGCCTCCTCTACCAAGGAGCGTACCGTTTCCCATTGTCCAGCCCCACCTTCCTGGGCGGCTCCAGCAGTGGGCCCATGGCTCCCCCCAGGCTGAATGGGGGAAAGAAACCGAGCAGGGGTAGATTGATCCTCACAAACATGTAGACACCTGTGAGAACTCGTCCTAAGAGCAGAGGGTGTATCTGAAGTCAGAGAGAAAACCATCACTAGCAAGAGCTCCTACAACGCAGGAGTCCCTCTTCAGAGGGACGGAGAGGACCTGAGACCCATGTTTTGAGTCAGATCAAAACACAAGACAAAGGAAGGTGGAGAGCATGGACGGAACAGGAGACATGTGACTGATCCGTGAGAGCAGCAAGTCAGAGGAGGCCACACAGGCAGGTGGTCAGCCTTCAGAACAGGTCGAAGGTCAGCGGTGTTACCGCCGAAGGTCAGCTCAAGTCTGTCCAGTCTGTCCTCTGCACCCTTGAAGAAGGTGTGGGGAGCACATCCACCACCAGTGCAAGAAGTCCTGGGATTCTCCTATTACTGCCACAAGCCAACCTCTTAGATGACGGTCGGCCTACCTTTTCATGCGAATTTTGAGTTTCTTTTCTTGCCAATTTCTGCCTCTGTGGACTGGCCACTACTACTTCCAGCATGGCCCTTTGCCATTCTACAGCCCTAGGCTATGCCAACTAGAACTGGCATAAAAACCCCAGCTTCCAGCTCACAGATCAGGGAATGAGAAGACGTAGAAGGTGGGCAGTGAGCACAAATCACACAGCTAGTCAGTGTAGGGATCAGCCCTGTTCTGGATTCTACTGATGCCAAAGCCTGCAGCATGCTGGAGACTCCTGAGTGGCCAGGGCCTTGTTTACAGCCTTGCAGCTAGCTAGCATTGTGCAAGGTCCACCCCCCATCCCCTACCCCCACCCCTGCCCAGAGGGTCATCAGTTGAAAGAATGGTCCTCAGTGTACTGATGGCAGGAGGTGGACGGTCTGGTGGGAGCTCCTTGGAAGGAATTAACCCCTGAGATACTTCTCTTCAATAAAAGTTGTCTTAAAATCTTGAATCTCTTATTCCTGTGCATGATCCCACAACTGTGAGGCCATCTACCTAAGGCTGTTAGTAGCATCATGACCTTGAACTTACAGAACTTGAGCTAAATAAACCTTTTTTCTTTACAAAATTATCCAGCCTTGGTTATTTCATAATAATAATAATAATAATAATAATAATAATAATAGCGGTGCACAGGGTGGCAGGGGTAGATGTCCCCTGACATAAACATATCACGGGAGTGTAACTGGTCCCAGGACAAAGATCTTCCCTCCTTCCAGTCCCTTCCACAGGAACGTAAGTCTTCTCAGAACACTGCTATCAACCTATTACACCCTCCCCCCAAACCCCTGCTTGTCTGAAGTTTCCAGAACTTTTTCCTAGGTACTGCTCATAAATCCCGTCTGGCCAGGCAGTTCATCCTCGTCCCCTAAACGAGCCGTGCATTTTGCTGCCCTGGGCGTGTTATTGGCACACCCCTTCCTGTTGTAGCTACCTGGTCCTCTCCATCCCAAAGACCCTGACTTCTCCACTCTGCTCTTCACCTAGCTCCCACAATCCTCTCCAACTCCCAAAACCAGACCAAGAATGTTACTTGGATGCCTTCTTAGCTGGCTTCTCATTGACATTCCCATCTGCGTATATTTTAATTTTCAACTACATTAAGGTCTCTCTTTTTGTTTTTAAAAAGATTTATGTATTTTTGTTCATAACAGTGTTTGCCTGAACGTATGCATGTATACCATGTGTATGTCTGGAGTCCATAAGAGGGTGACGTGACGGATCGGGAACTAGATTTACTGGTAGTTGTAAGCGGCCACGTGGGTGCTGGGAACCAAACTACAGCTCTCTGCAGGAGCAGCAAGTGCTCTCAGCCACTCAGCATCTTCCCAGCCCCCACAGTAAGATCTCTTTCTGGCAGCAGCAAGCACTAGCTATGTTTGTGTCACTCTCTACACCCCTGTGGATGCCAGTGGACCTCCTTCACCCTAAGACACTCTCCATGGAAACAGTCTTACCTGTAGTATCTGGATTGCAAGTAGGTAGAGCAGACGGCTTTGGACACGTGACTGGCTGACCCGAAGTCGATGACCTTCACTCGGTATGGCTGTCTGGATGGATCTACCAGCATGATGTTCTCTGGTTTGAGGTCAGCATGGATAAGGCCCAGGCTTTTGAGTTTCATCAGAGCTGTAGCCACCTGCTGGAGGACTGGGCGGATGTACTTGAGGGGCAAGGGGCTAAACTTGTTCTGCTTCAGAAAGTCATAGAGGTTCTGCTCCAACATCTCAAAGACTAAGCACGTGTGGTTCTTGTGCTGGAAGCACTCGTAGGCCCGAACAAAGTTGTAGTCGTCAGCGCTCTCCGTGCTCAGCCGGGCTAGGATGCTCACTTCAATCTGGCCTTGCCGGGCATAGGAAGGGTGGTTCTTCAGGATCTTAATGGCCACAATCTCATTGGTACCCCGTTTCCAGCACTTGACCACTTGCCCGAATGTCCCTCTGCCCAGAAACTCTAACACCTCATAGGTGTTGGTCATGGAGCAGAGCACTTCGTGCTGCACCAGCTGGTAGTCGCCTTCACTGTTGGAGCCACTGTTTTTGGAGGTGGCAGTGGACGTGGTGGCAGTAGCCACAGTGGCCCCGCTGGCATTATTCGGAATCATGGGTGGATGCTCTTCAATGATCTGCACGCTGCTCGTGTTCTCAATCTCCTCGCTCTTCCGCTTGAGTCCACATTTTTGGTAGGTGTCAAGGAGGCTCACAGTGCTTCGCCGCATTAGGTTATGTGGTCCGCCGAGGACTTGCCCGGTGACAGAAGTGCTACTTGCTGATGTTACAACTATGTGTCCAGTACTTCCTGGGAAGATGATGGTCTGCTCGTAAGGTAGGCTTGGGTTTGGGATCGGCAAGGAGGTGCTGGCGGCTGTGGAGGCTGGCTGAGAAGGCGGTATGTCCTTGCTCTGGCTATACACTTTGCTGTGGGAGCCGTACCCAGTCATGTCCCAGCTGGAACTTGGCTCTACTTTAAGTTTCTTCACACTACAGAAGGCACTTGATTGAAGGGTGTGAGGGGAGAGAGCTCGCACATGTGAGGCCATACCTAAGAGGGAGGGAAAAGGGAAAATAAATATCTGAGTTACTCCTCCATGAGCGGACTCCACTGACTCATTTAGGCTCTGGTCAGATCGCCCTCCCACTTCAGAAGCAGCTGAGGGCCAGGAGATGGACTGGTGGGTAAAGTGTCGCGGTGGCGTATAGCCCTGAATACAGGCCCCCAGAACCCAGGAAAGCTGGGCAGTCACATCACCTGTGGTCCCAAAGCTCCCACACCAAGATGGGTGACACAGACAGGAAAATTTCCAGAAGCTCATGGGCTAGCTATCCGGGCATATACAGCAATGAACACGAGACCGTCTCTCAAACAAGGCCAAAGATAAGGCCTAACCCTGGCGCTGTCCTCCGGTCCCCACACAGTCCTTGGTGTTCACGTGCGCACATGTGCCCACACACACATATGCATGCGTAATGACTTAAAATGCAGCAGCCTGGAAAGCAAATCAGTCCCACTCAGAAGCATTCTAGTCCCCTTGTTTGTGAGACTAACGGTTCCCGGGTTCTGCCTTCAGACCTACCAGCCTTAGGAGGACAGGAGGCTCAGGAATAGAGTCAGAATCAGATACAGAACTGGGGCTTAGTCCACCATTTATTTCTTGTAACTGTACTTGTAACAGAAACCAATTCTTCGTTCCTGTTCAGGTTGCATCTTGTTAAATCTGGAGACTCTTATCAAGTACCCAGATAAGTACTACATACTTAGTTCTTCCGTGCAGTCAGCTTAGCCTTCTCAATTTGGTTCTCAATTAGAACCAAATAACCAGTTCTACCACTCTTAAGGACCATGTTCCCACACAAACTTCATCATAGGGACTCTCATGATATTCCGCATTCTGAATGAGACATACTCCCTACCATCTGGCATCCTGGTCTTCTTGAATTATGTAGCGTTGTAGATAGATGATTTGGTGTTTAGCTGGCTTAGAACATGCATCACTTTTCAGACAGGGCCAAATAGCAACACTCATGGGCTCCTTGCTAACCTATTTTGTCAACCTACACATTAATAATTTTTTCTAGAAAGTCCTGAGATTTCAGATGCTGGGGGGGGGGATAGCTCAGTCTAAGTAAGTGTTCACAATGCAGGCATAAAGGACTGAACATGATTTCTAGCACTGACAGAGAGAGAGAGAGAGAGAGAGAGAGAGAGAGAGAGAGAGAGAGAGAGAGAGAGAGAGAGAGAGAAAGTTGGGCATGGATTTGGATTCTTGGGGTTTAATTGGCTAGCCAGTGTAGCCTAATTGGTGAGCTCCAGATTCACTGAGAGACCTCATCTCAAAAAAAAAAAAAAAAAAAAAAAAAAAAAAGTGGAAAGTGATTAAAGGAGGCACAGATAGATGTCAACTTGTACCTGTATACACACACACACACACACACACACACACACACACACACACACAGTGGAAGTTGAGAGAAAGAAAGAACTATGATTTCATACTGACATATCTATAACCTAGATAATCTTGGAACTATTTAAGATCTTTCTGGAGTAACCATACAATTTATAATTATGGTAATACTGGAAAATATTTTAAATGTAATTCATTATATATGTGAAAACACACTAAGTGATAAGAAAGGGAAAACCCTTAAAGGTACAAGAAGGAACTAACACCAATTACCTTCTAAGCTGCCTCTGATAACCATTTCGTGCATGTATGTGTGTTCATGTGCACACACGTCTGAGTGTGCATGCATATGTGTACAGAGACCAGAGGTTGACAACAGGCGTCTTCCTCAGGCTCCATATTTTGGGAGTCAAGTCTCAGTGAGTCTGAGGCACACCACTTGACTAGACCGGCTACCCAGCAAGCCTCGGGGGTCTTCCTGTCTCATTTCCCCAGTGTCTGGGTTACAAACGCCTGGCTTTTTAGGTGAATGCTAAGGATGGGCCTCAAGTGCTGGTGCTTATGTGTCACACTGAATGAGCCACCCTCACCCCACCCCACCCCCACCATTTCTTACACAGCAGTTACAAAGTGGAGAGTCTGTCAAGCTTCCCTGGTATTTAGCCATCTAGCTTCAGCTGCTCTCTGACCCCCCGGCATTACCTAGAGTGATGGTTTAACATTTCCCTCTCAAGCCCATCACTTGTCCCCTGATGTTCCCTCTTCAGCAGATCCCCACCTGTCTCTTCCAGAATTCCAACGTCTGTCTCAGGTCCTGCTAGTCTCCTAATCCATATTTTTCCATCCCCCCCCCCCCCGAATCCTGTTTCAGCCATTCTTTTTCCTCGAAGCTGCTGATTCTCTACGTTTATTGGACAGGTCTTGAGTTGGTACTGAATAAAGTTGTCCAAGTGACTTATGGGCCTAGCCTCTCCCTTCAGGTGTGTGTGCATGCACAAACTTCCAAGTCGAGGGCAGCAGCAGGGCAGTCACAGCCCTCTCTTACTCTCCTTACCTGTAAATGGAAGCTCTCCTCTCCCATGCTCCCTCTCCACCCTCCCCCAGCGTATTCAGACACGGTAGCCCTGTGTTCTTCAGGTGAAAACTTCCCTTCAGCCTCTTCCCTTCGCCTGTCTGCAGCATCTGACACTGCTGACCGTGTCTTCCCTCTTGAAGCTCTTATCTACACTAATGCGAATCTCTAACTGCCTTCCTCCTCCCTGCGGCTAATTACACAGGGTGAAGGCAGTTCCTTCTCCCCCTCCTCTAAAATGCCGGTGCTCCCAGCATTCTCTTTCCCGTGGACGGCACCATTCATTCAGACAGCGTAAGCAGCCGTCCCCACCGGAATGTCCCACCCATACATTCCTGTCTCCTGCTACGTCAATGATCTAACCCTCCATTCTAACATTTCCAATTCTGTTAATACAGTATTTACTTATCTAGTTGCTTGGCTCCAAACTGTGGATTTACCTCGATGAGTCCCGATTTCCTCAACAGGCATAAGGTAGTCAGTCTCGATAGATTTATCTTTCCTTTTTTTTTTTTTATTAAAAAGTATTTAAATAACCATATAATGCAACTAACCATAAAAAGCAAAATGTCTCTTGAATCCAACGCTCTAGTTCCTGTTCTTTTTGCCACTCACTCCCAAGTTGGAATCATTACTTCTCTTTTTCCCCCTCCAAGACAGGATTTCTCTGTGTAACAGCCCTGGTTGTCCTGGGACTGCTTTGTAGACCAAGCTGTCCTTGAACTCACAGAGATCCACCTGCCTCTGTCTCCCAAGTGCTGGGATTAAAGACGTACTCCACCGTCACCCAGCTGAAATGATTACTTCTCAAAAGTAACCCTAAAGTAAATATAGGAACCTGGCCTACCTGAATGATCCTTTAACGCTCCTGTTTCTGGCCACCAGATTTGTCTTCCTACATAAGCTTCTGAGCATTGCTCCTCTGTCCAAAAGCTAATAGTGACTCCTTAGTATCCAGAAGGTAAAGCTGGAGAGACAACACACATCTTGATCCCAAACACTTGCTAGTTTTGTCTTCAACCACTGATTTTCCAGAAGTTTCATCTCTAGGCTGGCCGCGCTCATCTTCCCAGAACAGAGTCCCTTCTCTACTCACTTCACTCACTCTCCAGTAGGTTCTGCCTTCTGCATGGAGTCCCCGCTTCTCAACTGATCTAAAGACTATCCCGCTTAGAGCCCCAAGCCTGAGTTTTTGAGACAAGATCTCATATAGTCCAGGCTGGCCTCGAACTCTCTATGTAGGCAAGGATGACTAAGGTCTGATTCTCCTGCCTCCATCTCCCCAATGCTAGGATCACAGGTGTGAGTCACCACACCGCTAAGTAGTTCCTCTCTTAACCCTTTACATGGTTAAGTCATGTTCCTACACACTCTGACACCAAGGACCACAATGATACCTCAGACCTCTTTGGTTTTCCTCACACTTCCCATGGCAGGCCAAGCTTACAGTGTACCCTGACCACTGCTAACTGTCGAAAACCTGGAGCGTCTCCAGGCACACATATATCTAAGAAGCAGGCCTGACTCGAAATCAGAGAAAAACCTATCAGTACTTTTCTACCCAAATAAAGATTTGTAAAATGCAAGAGAGATGCATGGCGGTACCTGACTAAACTTGAAAGGCTAAGGCAGGAGAATTGAGAATTTGAGGAAATTCTGGGCCACACAGCAAGACCCCGGCTCAGAACAAACAAACAATACTCTAGAATGAAAACAACAGCACAAACAAGGGCGAAGCAGAGGCCGTCAGCTCCTCCGCGGGCCGGGCGGCCGCGCCCTGTGGTGCCCCTGCCCCTGTGTTCTGACTCCCTGGAGGCAGGTCTGGTCTAACCCTAAGTCCCACCTGAATCTGTCTTTACCGTGACCCGTGGGTCAACAGAGACTTCCCTTCTGGTCTGAAAGATGGCTCCAACCTTGATCTGGGCACTATCACTGATACGCCTGTGTATGTCTGACATGACTATTGCTGGCATGATTATTCTGGTTTGTTATGCAATCATATTTCCACCTGCTTTTTATGTCAATATCTTCCTAATATTACAAATACAGAAAGTGATTGTTCTTTATTAGCATCACTTAAATATTCATATAGTTATAAATGCTATAAACCAGACATATCCAGCCTATGGTTCATAGGCCTCGTGTGTCCCAGTACACCTATGAATGTGGCCCAACACATTTTAGATGACATTTCCTTACAGTGTCAAAAGTTTTGACATCCTTGAAGCACTGCAGAAAAGAGCAGTCCTTGGCTTTTAGCTACCTATCCCCAGAAAAGAGTAAGCAATATTAACATCTGCTTCAGCTTCCGTCCCTTGACTGTCCCTTATTCCTTACTCTTCAAATCACTGTCAGGGGAAAGGAGAGGAGGAGAAGGGAAAGAAGAAGGAGAAATAAGCTGGTTACACACAAAGCTTCCGAGGCATAGGTCCTCACTGTTTCAGAGGTTCTCGGTGGAAGGCCACACTGCAGAGTGGAATTTTACAAAGGGGAAGAGGGTAGCTTATGACTTATTTGTTACTGGGATGGTAGCCAAGGGTCATAAAACTGTGGAGATCATCACTG